GTCACAAGAGAAGAATTATAGTGTCAAATGAATAAGCAAAGGTGTGAGACTTGAGGAATGTTGGTGAGTGATGAAATTTAAAGCTTGGAAAAATGAATATATATAGCAAGAGATGAGAGACAAAGTGCAAAGCTTACTGTTTAAATTTAGTTTTACAGTTGAGAAAGTAGTTAGATGCATTGATTTCACGCGGATATATATATTGTGGGAGTCTACGCATTGGGCTCTGTGACTGACTCGGCAATTTTTTTTTTTTTTATAATGTATTCAAATGCATGGAATTGAATCAGAGGCCGGTGTGGATTAGCATGCTTTTGACTTGATTGGAGAAAGGGGTGCGTAAATTGACCAAACCAAAAAAAAAGAAAAAATCAGAGCGTAAAAGTAATACTTATAGTACCAAAGTCCACAGGTATAATAACTATGCTACAGTTTAGTGCAAGGGTAAATTATACTTTGACCCCCTTAAACTATGATTTCGATTTCACTTTGCCTTTTGAACTATTGAATTTTTTACATTGCTCCCTCAATTACTCGAATTATTCCACATTTCTCCAATTGGAAGCGTCCACCATCTCTTTGGACGAAAATTACCAACGTATCGGGCCAAAATAAAAAAAAATTATATAATTTAAGGGACAAAAATAAAATAACTTTCTGTTCAATATGTGATTAGTTACATATTGCCCTAATTACTAGTTGTGGGAATAATGTAAAAAAAAAGAGTCGTAGTTGAAGGATCAAAGCATAATTTTCCCTTACAATAATGAACAAATGTTTTTTCTTGTTTCCAATTTATATTTCTTGTCTACTATAGAGATTCAAAAAAGGTCCGAGTTTGATTTATTTCTATGCAATGAATGTTTACCCATATGATGAGTAGAGTTTATATAACTCAAAAGGGAAATTACATTCTGACCCCCTTAATAATGGACCCAATTTTACTCTATCTCTTGAACTATTAATTTTTTCACATTGTCCTTCCATTATTTGAATTTATGTCATGTTGTCCCAATCTCAAACGTCTATTATCTTTTGGGAGAAAATTATTAATGCGTCAAGACAAAGTAGAACAAAACACACAGTTTTGGGGGGAAATTGAAACAAGTTCTCGTCAAATTTATAACAGACGTTAATCATCAGAGCAATGTAAAACTAATAGTATGCGAAACATGATAGTTGAGAGAAAAGTATAAAAAAAAAAGGGTCATAGTTGAGGGAGTGAAAAAGGAATTTTCCCTACTTCAAAATAGGCTGCAACTCATCATGGAAGTGCTTCACTCACCCAACATTAATACAAAACACATATTGCCCCAAATTTCAAAGCACATTTATCCTTTCATGTTCTATTACTTGTACCCCTAAATAAGCTAGCAATATTGAACACTTGAGTTTGGTACTTAGGTCAAAACAATGAAGGTCCCTAGGTCTTTGAAGGACGTGGATAAATAAACTGACTCCTCTTATAAGTCCCATGCACAAACTACCATACCACTTACTTGATCATGAAGTTATATATATATATATATATATATATATATATATATATATATATCAAGAGAGATTCTCATTGGAAATGAGCTACATTTATCTCAACCCATCTACTTTATGAAGTCAAAGAGTAAAAAAAAATTCAAAATTAGAAATGTCGAAACACTGATTTAATTCGTTATTTGCACCGACATGATATGGGGACCACTGCAGTATCGATACCCTAATTTCGATTTACAACCATCAATGTCTGTTGTTTCATATATATCCTCTTCATTCTTTAGTAAAAATCTAGTCAGTTTCATTTAATCTAATCTATCGCCTAAGCTTATTGGGTGAAACTTACAGAAATTAAGCAAATTAAAAGAAGAAATGTTGATTATTGTATAAAGATGGATCAATGTCTACTAGTTCTAATTAATTTCTACAAATACTATGATCTTGTGCATAGCATATTCATAATTCAAAAAATTCTGAACTAGATTTTTTTTATCACAAGAAAACTACAACACTTCCACTTAAAAGCAGAATTGCGGCAGACTTCTTTTAACCCACACACACACACACCCTAAGTCTCCTTAACTAGCTGGAAAAATCACAAAGTAACCAAGATTAGATCTCATAAAGCAAATATTTGACTTGTTTCTTCTCCCATAAAAACCAGGTCAACGCTTTCTACTGGTGGGCCCAATATACATTTCATAAAAGAGCATTGTTGTGCTAATAAATTTTGCTAGGTCTTTCAAGCGTCTATTTTGTCCTTTTTCTGAAATTACTATTTTATCCTTTTTCTGAAATTACTGTTTTGTCCTTCACAATATGATAAATTACACATATAGTTGAATGATATAATGGCATCAAGCAGCTGTATATATGGTTTTTTTTATAAAAAATTTTTTAAACTTGTAACCGGTACTTAAACTTGTAATGCGTCTAATTTCTCACAAACCACGCACATCTAGTTAACTAAAATATCTATTTTAATGTATTAGTTATTAAAACGGTGCCATCTAAAGTATACCGAAGAATTTTAAATAAAAATTCAATGGTTGACCTGAAGGAGTGTGGCTGATCTAATGGCAGTAAGCAGCTGTGTATGTATATATATATATATATTTTTATGACCAAAAATAGTCCCAATTTAGAATTTTTTAAAATTTGTGATTGGTACCTAAACTCGCAATGCATCCAATCTCCCACAAACCACACCCATCTAGTCAACTTAAGTATCTCTTTTGATGTATTAGTTATTGAAATGGTGTCATCCGAAGTATATTGACGGGTTTTAAAGAAAAAATCAAACAATTGACATGAAAGAGCATAACTGATCTAAAGCATTAAGCAATTGTATATATTTGTTATGATCTAAACTTCACAACTATGAATTTAATTTGTTAAACTTATGACTGGTACCTGAACTCGTAAATTGTAATGCATACAATCTCTCACAAACCAATACCAATGCATCTGATCAACTAGAGTAACTCTTTTGAAATATTAGTTACTGAAACAGTGTCATCCGAAGTATACGGGTTTCAGCAGATGTATATTATAAAGCATATTGCCATGCACAAATAGGAAAAGGGGGCCACCATAGCATTAATTGGTGCTGGTTCTTGTGCATGTGGCTTGAACCACTAAATTTAATGTTTCAGTTTAGTCCTACCATGTAACATGGGTCTGCATAGACGACCCTTGTGTAGTTATGAAGATAGAAGAAGATACATAACTCTTACTATCCCACATGATTGAATAAGAAAATGTAGTGTGTGCTAGATGGACATAAGCTGTCTTTCCCTGGCCTCTTCTAGAAATAGAGGGCAGTTTGGAGACATTTTTTTATATGAATAATTGTTGAAAATTACAAAGTTGGTACTTAATTTGTAAATAAATCTAGACTTATACTTTTTAAGGCATGAGATTCAACTCAACTGAATTTTTAAAGTGAGACGTTTAAACTAATTTTTCTCTTTTGTTAATATAACAATATTACCCTTTTGTGTCTTGCACTTTGTCCAACCAAGAATCATTGTCCTTCTCATCAGTAAATTCAATTCTTTTTCCATAGAAATTCACCACCACCCCCACTCTGCCCTCCAACAGTGAACTAAAAAATTCAATTATTCTTAAAATATACAAAACTAGTCTAAAAAGTACATGACTTTATATTTGTCGCTTGAGTTCCCATTTTTATAACCTGGAACAGTCCCAACTATGCGGTCTTTGAACTCGTGGGATGTTATGCCAAATTTCACTTTGCACAATGACCAACATTTTTTGAATCTTATTTGCTTAGTTGGCTAACTCAAGTTTGAGTCCTACATGAATCGGATTTCACTCTACGACTGTCAATAGAAGTCTAATTTGACAATATACCTATGTAGTCGTCTCTTAGAAAATTAGTTCACCAAAAACATGGGAAGAAAATGTACATTGAGTATGATATGTAACATAAGAATAAAATCGGTTATCTTAATTTAAAAGTTATGTTTAAATTAAAGTAACCCATATATATCCATCTTTGTTAGTTTTGAGAGATAACTCGTGCCTGAAGACACGGTGTAATTTAAATAGTTTTGAAAGAAATATTAGTAGCCGTTAGATAAGTATATTTAAAACTGTCAAATAAAACTTATTAAAACCAGTCATAAATCATTATTATTCCACAATACTTATATAAGAACCTAAAAAGAGATCTCACTCTACAATTACACATTGAAGACTTGTTCAAAAGATTTATAGAACTCTGTCGACAATGATTTAATGATTTCTCAGTGCTGCATTTGAGTTGACTTCCAGCAATGATTTAATAAAGTCTGATGAATTCTTCATACAGCAGGCAACCCCTCTCATAAGCATCCCTGTCAAAAGACTCTCGCTCTATCTAGTAGGATACAGGAGGAGACGCGTAAAGATCAACGATCGAGTCAACTTGATGTTTCGGTGTTAAGGCGAAATGAGTCCCTTGTGACGAGAGATGAAAACGGGTCAGGCAAAAATTACCATTCTAGCGGTTGAGAGTTTCTCCGTCTCTAGATAACTCTCCGTTTTGAGAACTTAGTCGGGTATCCATCAACTTATTTATTTACGTATTCAAATTCAATAATTTCACACATAAGGCAAGGCACCCTTGTTCTACCCCCCAGATATAGAAATTTAATGCAGTATGCAGTAATGTAGAGGACCATATACACTTGACCACTATTTAAGGCCTACACTCATTTCATTGTCTTGTCTTTAAACAATGTATGTAACAATCAAAAGAGTCTACTCATGATCTCCTATAGCATTCATTAAAATTTGGCATTGCTGATTGAAATGCAAAAGGATAAGATCCCAACAGTAGCATTAACTAGAACTTATGACTCCTACCAATTTTTGGAATTAAAGTAAGGTAGTTGAAGCAACACCCCTACTAAACCTATCAATTTCAAAACCACGTTTGATATGTTCCACTTCACTATCTACCACATGACTTCATTATAACTAAGGGTCTCCATGGTTGCATGCCAAACTTTCAATTGAGTCGTTCGTGCCATGTTATATGTCAATTATGTCTTTGCATTAATGTCATGGTCAAATTGTATCACATTAAATCCCTTCTTGTTTGTGTCAAGCTCAGGTCGACATGTATAACCACTAAATTAGAAATTGCAGAGCTAAGACTTTTTTCTCTATCAACTAAATGTAACACACATAGGTCCCACATAGATTTACACAATCCACATCCTACAAACTAAATGAAAAATCAATAATTTGTATGATAATTCATATAACACTAAATTAAGAAATGCAAGATTAAAAACAAAAAAACAAGATTACCTTCAGACAATACCAATTAAACGGGTTTCCATTTCCCAGTCAGCCCAAGATGTGACAATATGCTAACCCGGGTTGTAAACTTTTTTGTCCGATGGCTAGGCCCGGCCCATCTATGAACTGCAATTCAGAAAAAAATGAAAAATTTGGGGGGAAAAACAGGGGCCACCCAAAAAAAAAAAAAAAAAGGCATGCAATATCATCGCATCTCAAAATTCTAGATCGTAACACTTAACGCAACTATTGAGACGAACCAACATAAAGAATTTCACCTTCATCTGCATTTGTATTTTCACAAGCAATATTACTACAAATTACACCATCAAACAAGGGGAGCCATATATTTCATTTTTCTAACATATCATGCTACAAACTTTCAAAAACCCGGTTAATTCTGCTTTTTCCATTTCAAACTATTGCACTAGTTTTACTTTAACCCTCCACTTTAAATTTTTTAGCATTGTTTCTTAACTACGTTAATTGGTTTCACCTAGCCTCAAATCCGAACATAACGTCGGTTTTACAATCCCCCCCCCCCCCCCAACCCCACCCCCACAACAACCCTAGTTAGGCTATTTGGTTTCACAACAATGTGAGGAAACCAATAACAGCAGGGATAAACTAAAACTAGTGCAAGAGTTTCAGGGAACATAATGTAATTAACCGTTTGTGTTTCTCTCTCATTCATAAATCAGTCCTGGCAGCAGTTGGGGAGAATTGCAAAGCAATGTTTTTGTAGATTTGAATCAAACCCTTCAAGTCATTACTTCCCACTTCAAGGAAGTCCCGTAGCAAGTCACCCTCCACCACTTCTCTCTGCATCGCCTCCACCACTCCTCGCAATGGTCCCTGTCATTTTCAATACAAACCTTAAACGATAAAGCAATTAAATGAAAAATGCTATTTTACATTTACTATTGAAGAAATTTGCATGATTACAATGCGTAAGATCATTAAGGCCGACTTTTGTCCCCTGTTCAAAGGGCTCCCCAACCTTTTCCCTAGCAAGATAGGGAAAAACTGCCTTTAGAAGCTAGAATAGAAATAGGCCTCGATGAATTTGTGAAATTCGTTCCTAAACTCGACCAATCCCCTTAACTAATAGGTGCTAGTTAGGGGGGGTCATCTGCTACCCAACCCCAATCTAAGTCAAAAGGGCTTTGGCAAACCAATGACCAATCCTATTTCACATCTTCAAGAACATGAAAATGAGCCAAAATTTTCTTTCTAGAAATAATAATGCGATTTAAACATCATATTCCCACTATTCCTTCTTCCTAGGAAACTGGAGAAATTTTAGTGTAAAGCCATTCACGTGTTATATGGGATGACATTTACTACACCATAGCATCACAAAAGTAATACGCCGTTAAGTTTAGTTTTAGACTATAGATAGTGATGAGTTGTAAACTCTTGATTTTTCCCTTCCCTTAGGATGTCTCTCTTAGGATATCATTGTTGTCCTTAACTATCTATGTTATAATGGCTTTGACTAAGTAAAGCTTTAACTTCAGCAATTCAATATTGAAAGGGCTCTAAGCATATGACTACATATGATTAGACCATTAAATGAGGACACGTGACAAAGAACACTTGACAAAAGCACACAAAAGAGTATGGCAAAAGTAGTGTCTCTGATTGAGTCATATCAAACTAAACCAAACAAATTATGGCCCCAGCCAACTAGAAATAGGTGAGTAACACTACATTGACCAAATTTTGGGACCAAATTTAGAGTTCAAATGACATAGCAGTTGATTATTTAAAGTTTTTATTGGGACCCAAATGACATCACACCAATCAAAAAAACTCAAGTCAACTGTCATGTCATTTGGACTCCAAATTTGATTACAAATTTGGTCGGTCTAACATTACTGGAAATAGATGTGTCATTCAACGGCTTGCATTAAGCAGTGGCCGAGAATCACCAAGCAAATGAATTGGAAACCGAATGGAACTCTTGGTTTCAACAGATTGATAAGGATTAAGCCAGACGAAGAGTTAGCTAGGCTATCCCAAATAATCAAAGGCAACTAGTAAGGAAATTACCTAAAACATAGGTCCACATTATAAAATGTGACCTAAATAATCAGTCAATAGGAAAGAGAAACCATAAAGATTCCAACATGAATTAAGGCTAAAAAACAGGTGTGTCACTTTGTACAACCATGAATCAAAACCTTAAGAGGCAGGGAGGAATTTCTATAAATATCGGATGAGTTTAATTCAAGGTATACACTTTTTTCTCCACAATTAATTTGTTTGATCTTAGAATCCTCCCTGACTTGAGCATCAGATGAACTTAAATCAAAATCTAAGATACGCATTGCAAGAAAAAGATGCACCCAAATTCATTTCATTGACACCAGAATTTTTCTTTGTTTTCGCTTCATCAAGAGATGCGACATTTTTACCTCTCAACCCAAAAAGCAGTTACATCAAAATTGGATAACTTCTACCAAGCTAACATCCATTAAATAGTAGTGAAGCAATGACCACATAAGGTGCGTCTACAATGTTAGATTTCACACATTATTAAAAAACTAATTATACTTTAACTCTATCAACTATAACACTTTTTCACACCATCACTACAATTGTTTTCACTTTACCCGACATGTCAATAATTTCCGTCAAAAAAGATAATAAGCATTTGAGGCATTGTACAATAATTCAAATAGTTGAGGGATCAATATAAAAAATGCAACAAGACAAAATAAAATCGAGTTGATAATTAAGATGGTCAAATTTTAATTTGTACTTATTTTTAAATTTGGTAACTATTTATTTGGCCTAAAAACTATATCATTTATGTCGATCAAGTTTCTGAATTATGCTTTGTGTCAATTTAGCCACCGAATTATACCATTTGTCTCAATAGGCCACATTCGCAGCTAAGTTTTACTGAATTCCTCCCATGCATATCATTGAGTCGAGAATTAGGGTATAATTTAGGAGATTAAGGGATTAGGGTCACACTGACATAAATATTATAATTCAGGTTAAATTAACATAAAACATAATTCAGGAATTTAATTAACAAAAATGGTATAGATTAGAGTCAAATACATAGTTGACTCGTTTTAAATTAACAAAACGTACCGATTGACTAAACACTTTGAGAAGCCTTCCAAACAGCGACTTAGACACCCTAAGGGCATCCTTGTAATTTCGCTGGAGCCAGGCCACCCTCTCCATCTGCGACTCCAACCGAGTCAACTCATTCACCGCTCTCATCAACTCGTTCAAGTCCGGCAAAGAACTGAGCATCTCAAACGACGTCGTAGCGTCTCTCCACGCGTAGTTCTTCAGATAGTCCCAGCCCATGGTCCATATAAGACCGTAGAAGCCGAGCCCCAGCCCACGCTCCAGCTGTTGGGCCACTTTCCTGGCACGGACAGACCCTTCGACGTCGCCGCGGGAGGCGCGTAGGGTGGCGACGCGGGTTGTGAGAGAGTGGGAGAGAGAGAGGAGGGTTTGGTATTGGGCGAAGGGGAGGGAAGTTGAGGGTAGTGGGGTGGTGATCAGGAGGAAGGTGAGGAGGAGAAGAGAGAATGGTGCGTTGGCCGTGGGCATTGTTATCTTGGGTATTTAGGATGGGTTTGATCAGACGCTTGGGGAAGTTCGGAGGGAGAGAGAGAGAGGGCATTCGATGACTGTCAGGGAAATCCTATTATTCCTTCAACAGGAATAGAACTACGGTACCAAGGAAGGTATCCAAAATTAGAACAACACAGCAAGAAGGGTATCCCTATGTAAGAGTATCTTCGGTGCTCTCTAAAATAGAGATAATTTTTTTAAAATAAAGAATATTTTTGATTTGATAAAAAAAATTTTAAAATAGATAGTAAAATTGTAAACACCACTTTTTATTTTTATCAATGTATTATTTTATGTTTTATCCTTGTTAAAAATAAATTTGACTTTCATTCTTTTTTCCCTCCCTTCTTTTGGGAGCAAATCCTATGTTGTTGGGACGTCATCACATATCATGCGATTAAGTGGAACAGTACCGTTTTGGGTGTCTTTTGTAATTTTTTTTTATTCACCTTTACCAAAACGACGTTGTTTTGGTCCTTCAAATTCCAGATCTGCAATCTCCTCCCGCTTCTTCAAACTGAAGATCCCTTTTTACTCTTGGTTCCTCTTCGTCGATTGCAGCTCCTACCAAGTGAAGTTACCTGAAGATTCACCCTTCAAATTGAATATCCAACCTTTCAAACTGCCATGGAAGGGTTTCAATGTTTGTACAACCACAGCTGATCACTCTACAAAAATGATAGGGTTTCCAAGATTTGTGTTTTAATGTTTGTGCTTCAAGCATCACTGTAAAAAATTCGGATTCGAACATAGAGCTCTCTGTGAAACTATGTTCGCAAGGTATTTGTAGGAATATTACCAAATTTGTTGAATGAATGAACTCTACCATGTGAAATTTACCTAATTTACCAAATTTGTTGAATGAATGAACTCTACCTTATGAAATTTACCTAATTTACCGAATTTGTTGAATGAATGAACTTTATTTGCAAGAAACACTACTCTGTGAAATAATTGATGAATGAACACTACTCTGAATTTTTTATTCTTTTTGCACAGAAACAATTACATGCATTAAACAAGGCTTAAAGTCCAATCTGTGTGTACATAAAAGTTGATATGAAATGGCCATTGTGTTATGGTTTTTTGGTTGTGTTTTGTGTTGTGGCATTGAGCTTTGGTGCAACTGAGAGGCGATGGGGGAGCAGAGAGAGAAAAGTCAAATAGCATATAATTCTTGAGACCTTGCATTGCCAGATCAGTCATGTGTTTAGAGAGGCTAATTATGTAGCTGATTTTCTGGTCTCATTTGTAGTTAAGACTGGTTGTTTTACTGAATTTTTAGACAGAGGTATTATGCATGTGTCTGGGAGATTACTTTTAACTCAAGATCAGCTTAGGATGCCTACTGCAAGGAGGATGAGGTATATGTTGGGGGGATATCAGGGAATTGAATACAGGTTTTTTTTCATTGGCCAGAATTCTCTAATCAACACAGATGGAGGTTTTTTAGTTTCTGTCTGGGGTCTGGTTTAGACAAACAGTTTCCTTCTGTTTGTATGAGCTTGGAGCTGTGTTGTTGCTACTTTGGTTTTCTGGAACAGAACACTAGAAGTTGCATTCTGTGAATAATTTTTCTAATGCTTTGATGGAGTGATTGGTGTTGATGACTGAGTGCAGCTGTGACAAAAGTTATTAGGTTTTAGTCCTTTTGAAGGATTAAAGCCAACTCTATGGATTTAGAATTTTAAATTCCTTTGTGCTAAGGCTGCTGTGCTGTGATGATTCTGTGGAGTGGCCTGATGGTTGCTGCTACAGTTTGTGTTGGTGCAATCTGTGTTGTGTTGTAGAGTGGCTGGTGCAGTCTTTTGCAGATGGAGGATGATGATCAGCTAGGGCAGTAGCTGAGTTGTAAGGCCAGAAAACAATTACTGTTTTGCTTAACAATCTTAGCTTTGTATTCTTGTAATCTTTGATTTTTCATGAAATAAAATTTTCTCTTTTCCAAACTGGGATTTGCCATTACAGAATCTACCTTCTGATTTGCTATAAGAATACAACACTCCCCTGTGAGAATATCATTGTTCTGAATGAGCTGAATATCATTGTCCTATCATGTATGTGCCATGGAGGAATAGAAATGGTGAATGGGCTGAATATCATTTTGATGAAGTTCATTATGCGATAATGTTGAGTTTTAATACCATTGTCCTTTCATGTTTATAGTGTTGAAGAATGACATCTTCAAGCATGGCAACAAGCAACGAAGAGTTAAGATATTGCAATAGCACTTGCCCCATTTGTAGCAAAAGAGTGATTATCAAAGTTTTCGAATCTGAAAAAAAATCTTGGGAAGCTATACTGCAGATGTCCAGACGATTCCAGTCACTTTTTTAAGTGGATGACTCCTATTACTCTCCCCTCTTCAGAAATTACAAATGAAAGGATGGATGCACGACGAAATGAAGACAATGTATGATGAATTGAACACGATGTAATGACATTGAAGTTGCAAATTGAAAAACTTTGTAATGTAGTTCAACGTGTTGAGGCTAAAGAAGATTCAATGAAGTCAAATATGTTTGTAGTCACGTTATTAGTGGTGATTCTTATATTTGTAATTCTAGTAAAATAAAGTTGTAAGAGCAATGGTGTAGTGATGAAACTTGTGTTGTGAATGAACTTATGCGTTTAATTTGAATGAAATTGTGAGTTTTGTATATTATTGTGACTTGGAAGATCAATCTATGTAATTTTTGCCTAACTTGGTATTTTGAGTCTGACTCCTAATACCGCTTATCATTCACAACTCTTTCAAAATGTACAAAGAACTGAATAATATCATGGTCTGGTTTTAAGTACTTCTATAAGGCTGCATTCAAACTCTCACTCAATTGAGTGTTTTTCATTCCTACAGTGAAAGTCCTCTTCATATACACATGCCCCCATTCCTCTTGTAATGCCCAAGTGGCTTTCATCCACATATTATCATGCAAATTATACTCCGCAAGCAACGATTCCCAAGCCTCAAATAATTCATGCTCTTCTTCATATCCATACACACACTCTTTAAATCAAGCAAAAAAATATGAACCATCCTTATATATGTTCCCCAAATATTTTAACGAATTTTGGAAAAAGTGTCAAGTACATAACCTATGGTATGTCTCTGGCATGACTATATAAATAGTCTTAGTCATCGCTTGATATTGGTCGGTGAAGATAAATAGCCTTATAAATAGCATTCTATTGTTGCCTCCTCGGTGTTTTGCTAAGTGCTATGTGATTTTTGTTGAGGATGAATAAGTTGCTACATGTGTTAATATATTAGCATCATATTGATTTATGGTAATTATATGCAATCGATATTAATTTTCATGACAAAAGTGAAAATATGTAGTTAAATGGCTCATTTGGCATTCATTGCATTTTGGACATGATATGACATCACATTCATGGGCTTAGGCATGAGTGTGGGTGTGTGTTTAGGCATGGTTGATTCAAACATCATACATGGTGGTTGAAGGTGGGCTCGAAAAAGTGGGATTGAAGATTCCACTAAGTCGCATGGTTGCATGCATGAAAAGTTTGTGTCGGGTATAACAAGAAGAGTTAGACACTCTCTTGGGGGAAAAGACTCGACTACTTGGTTCATACACTCCCTTGAGGTAAAATTCTAGAAAATGTCATGGCGTACGAAGCCAGCAGTGTGATTCCAAAATCTGATACCCAGCAAAAACACATGATTTTGGTTTATATAAATGATTCATTTGATGGGAAACATCCAACAATGAATGGGTTTTTTGATCATATGATTGTATTTCAAAATGATCTTTGGATGTATTACATCAAGGACAAATGTTTTACACACATGCATTACATTGTGTTGTGGGAGTTGGTGAGGACTCGGGACAAGATGCATGAGTGAGTCTCATCTCATTTCATAGCATGACATTACGATTTTTCAACATTGAATTACATGTTCTTGTTGGAATGAATATTGGTTTTCATTAGTTACATGTGCACATTTCATATACATCTAGGAGGAGAGTAGCCTCTGTAAGAAATATTCTACTGGTCGTTGACTTACACTATACGGGAACACATTTCAGGTGTGGGGTTCGTACCGGTAGAGAACTCGCATTCGGGACCTCAACGATCAAGAAAAGCCGACTTGTGGCTTTTGTAATACATTTTGTATAAACTTTGTAAAATTAGGGTGTTGAGTATGAGATTATGTAAATGGATTGTAATAAAAACTTGTAGATATCAAGTTTTATGTGATAAACATTGTTAGACATGTTTTAGATGGTGTTGGGATGATTTGAAATGGTTTTGAAAGGAAAAATAGTGAAAATAGGCTAAACTGGGCAGAGAGTACCGGTACAGTCTCATCCAGCAAGCAGACAGTATCGGTACTCTTTTCAAAACTTTGAAAAAAAAATTTGGAAGACAGACAGTACGAATTCAGTTCAGACGGTATCGATACTGCCAGGGCTAGTGAACAAACAGTACCGGTACACAGTATCGATACTCTCTCCAAAATTTTGAAATTTTAAAACTAAAGTGTTGTGCTCTCGGTCTTTGATTCCTTTGGTTTCAAAAATGAAATTAGACAATAGAGACATGAATTGTGGTACCTTGAGCCACAGTTAAATTAAATGATTAAAGGAACACGGGTAATACGTGTGAGTTAAAATTCTGGGTAATGGAATACTATTAGCGTGATATCGGATCAAGTGGCACTCAGAGGCATTTTCGCGGGTTGACGGGTCGTCAACGGGACCCCCGATTTTAGGGGCGTCACATAGACAACATCTCCAAAGTTGTGATAGTCAATAATCATCACCGGGTCGGCTCAAAAAATATTAGTAATATGCTCCTCCGCATTCAATTGCACTTCATAATAGAATGATGGATTTTTCACTATTTCCGTTTGAAAATACTTCAACAAACTACTCGTCTCACCATACCTCAAGTCTCATTGCCTCCTTTCACAGAGGTAATTCTTTTGGTCTTGACGAGTAAAACCAAGATTTTCCTTTCCTCTAGACTAAGTACTTAAAAGTTCATATGAAGCCTTAAGTGACAATCCACAATCCGCTGTCATATCAATATTCATGCCTTGTGCTTCGGTAACCTTCAGTTGGGATAAAATCATATGCATACATTCAGCAAGGTGCAAAGGA